TTTTTAAGAAGGGAAAAAAGGAAGACCCCGGTAACTATAGACCAGTCAGTCTCACCCCTGTGCCCGGCAAGATCATAGAGCAGATCCTCCTGGAAACTATGCTCAGGCATATGGAAAATAAGGTGACTGGTGACAGCCAATATGGCTTCACTAAGGGCAAATCATGCCTAACAAATTTGATGGCCTTCTATGATGCGGTTACAGCATTGGTAGACAAGGGAAGAGTGACAAACATCATCTATGTGGACATGTGCAAAGCGTTTGACACTTTCCTGTGCAACATCCTTGTCTCTAAATTGGAGACATGGATTCAACAGCTGGGCTATTCGGTGGATAAGGAATTGGCTGGATGGTTCCACTCAAAGAGTTGCAATCAATGGCTCAATGTCCAAGTGGAGACCAGTGACAAGTGGCATTCCTCAGAGGTCAGTACTGGGACTGGCGCTGTTTAACATCTTTGTTGGCGACATGGACAGCGGGATCAAGTGCACTCTCAGCAAGTTTGCTGATGACACCAAGCTGTGTGGTGTGGTCAACACGCTGGAGGGAAGGGATGCCATCCAGAGGGACCTTGACAGGCTTGAGAGGTGGACCCATGTGAACCACATGAAGTTCAACAAGGCCAAATGCAAGGCCCTGCACATGGATCAGTGCAATCCCAAGCACAACTACAGGCTGGGTGGAGAATGGATTCAGAATAGCCCTGAGGAGAAGGACTTCAGGCTGTTAATTGATGAAAAACTCAACATGAGCCAGCAATGAGTGTGCAGCCCAGAAAGCCAACCGTGTCCTGGGCTGCATCAAAAGAAATGTGACCAGCGGGTTGAGGGAGGCGATCCTGCCCCTCTACTCCGCTCTTGTGAGACCCCCACCTGGAGTACTGCGTCCAGCTCTGGGGGCCCCAGTACAAGAGAGACGTGGAGCTGTTGGAGTGAGTCCAGAGGAGGGCCATGAAGACGATCAGGGGTCTGGAGCACCTCTCCTATGAGGACAGGCTGAGAGAGTTGGGATTGTTCAGCCTGGAGAAGAGAAGGCCCCAGGGAGACCAGCTTTCCGGTACCTAAAAGGGGCGTACAAGAAAGCTGGAGAGAGACTGTTTACAAGGGCAGGTAGTAACAGGACAAGGGGGAATGGCCTTAAGCTGAAGGAGGGGAGACTGAGATAAGAGCTGAGGAAGAAATTCTTCCCTGTGAGGGTGGTGGGGCACTGGAACAGGTTGCCCAGAGAGGTTGTGGATGGCCCCTCCCTCAAAGTGTTCAAGGCCAGGCTGGATGGGGCTTTGGGCAACGTGGTCTAGTGGAGGGTGTCCCTGCTCATGGCAGTGGGCTTGGAACTAGATGGTCTCTGAGGTCCCTTCCAACCAAACCATTCTATGATTCTATGATTCTATGCTTCTGTTCTGCACTTCTTTCTTCTACAGCATCCAAAGTGCTGTTTCAAAATTACTGGGACTTACCAGCTTACGGACACGATCAAGCACCATATCAATGCTTTCTTTGCCAATGGTGTAGTGGCCACGGGCATAGTTATTAGCTGCATCTTCCTTTCCAGTGATCAGCTGTTCTGGATGAAAAAGTTCCCGGAAGGTGCCAGCCCGCACTTCATCTGAACAAGAAAGAGAGATTGTAAGAAGCTGTGTGGCTGTGCTGCAGCGCCAACAACTTCTGGTTGCTGTAGGCATTGATGTGAGCTTTCTGCCACTGGAGTTCCTGATCGCAAAAAACAGATGCTGATGGGGAAGGGAAAACTGTTTCCTAAACATTTTTAAATTGTTGCACTCTGTTGATTTATAGTGTGACTTGTGTCTAGACACAGAAGTTGTTACAGTCTCAAGAACTTCAGTTGTACAGCCTGTATCAAGAGGAGGAGAACTCGCCAGAAAAAAAGTGTGAAGAAAATCAGGTTCCCCAGGTGCCCCAATTTTTAGAAATCCTTCTGTTCCCAGAGGGAAACTGTCAGGCTCCCACTTGGGATCCGAATTGGAGAAAAGAAGAATTTGAATGGCAAAAATGTCACGATAAACAAAACCAAAAGTTAAATATTTTTGTAAAGAGAATTCATACAAACCTTGTGTAGTAGCTATTAAACTGCTGGGGATCCTGTCATTGTTAGGTTTATAGCACCTATGGACATAATTGAGTCATGACAGAATCTGGCATTCTGTGTCACAAGAAAATTAATTTTATCCTACCTAGTGGTAGCGCAAGATACAAAGGATGTGCTACTTTGTACCAGTGGAGACTGGTGGCACACCATGGTAATACTAGGAAGAGTAAGCTCTTCTCCATTTCCCTGGTTTATTTCTATACTGACCTACTACTGTTGGTTCCAAGTCCACCATTACAGCCCGTGGCACATGCTTCCCAGTGACAGTTTCGCTGAAAAATGTGGTAAAAGAGTCATCACAGTTGAGTTTATCATGCAGATCCTTGAAGGTGCCATCTGGCTGAATGTCGTGCTCCAGGCAGAAGAGTTCCCAGCATGCATTTCCTATCTGAACGCCAGCCTGACCAACATGAATAGAGATGCACTCACGCTAAGGAGAGAGAACAGAGACAGGGTCAGAAAAAAAACTGCACGTGAGTCCCCCTTATGCCTAATGGTTACTTTTCCCCAGTGTATTGCTTTTCCAAAAAATGTCAAATTGTCACCGTCAGCATTTCATTTGGTTGTTCACCACATGACCACAATGAGACTGTACATATACACACCAGATACCGGGACAGTTCTTTAAAAAATTGAGATCTTTGTGCTGTAATATATGGGTACATGAAAACAGGCAGGGGAAAAAAAAATAATTTCAGTTATACAAACCCCACCTTTCCTCCTATGGATTGGTTCTGCTGAGGAGCACATCCCAGTTTAGTTTATTTTTACTCCTGGCAGGAACCTGACACAGCCATGTAGTACCCTTCAACCTTATGTAACCCAAGACAGGTGATGTTTTTTGATCCTTTTACCCTCTGATAGCAGGCTGGAGTGGAAACTTGGAAGAACTGCTTTAAGCAATATTCACCTCAGGAAATTATTTCAGATTCTGTCGGTTGAAACGAATGTTCCTTCAAGCTCCTGAGTGACTATGAATTTCACATTGCAGGTCCACTGTGTATTCAGGCAATGTCATTGCAATATAGTGTGTTTACTTGCATAATTTTGAGCATAGTTCCTGTGGTAGCCAGAGACTTCAGTGAAAAGAAAACAACATATGTAACCCCAGGCTAAAATAGGCAGGTGCCAATTGCTCAAAAATCCTTTACGCTTGGAGTACAGGAGTATGAAGGACCTAGTGCTGGATTTCATAAGTTCATAAATAGAATTATAAAGCAGATACTTCTTAGTTCAGACGATTACGACACTGGGTGTAGTGAAAGGTAGTTTGTAAGGAGAGAGCAGTTTCAGACACGTGGAGCTTTTCAGTTTCAGTTTCTGCTTTGGAGCAATTGTAATTATAATCTTCTGAGCTCAGACTTTGTGATCCCAATAGCCTTGTCTATACTAGGGAGTAAGAAAGAGTCAGGTCATAGTACTGAACATCGGCTTGTTATTGCCTGTGCTCTCTGGCACAATTTTGACTTATGCCAGTTCATAGTTTTCCAGACAATGCTTGGGCACCACCCAGAATACAACTCATTGTCAAGAATGGTTTCCAGTGAGAAGCTCACTGACCACTGCTTAGCTTTGGAGAAGGTAAGAGAATTCAGATGCCTAAACACGAAGCAGGCCATGCTTCCTGCACTGAAGAACAGGGGATGGTCCTAGGTCATTTTTATTTTCTAATATCTCATTTAAAGAGATCCACTGACTTAATATAAGATTTTGCCAGTTAACTTTTTTTTTTTTAATTCTGTAATTGCTGACCCCACAAAATCATCCTGTGACCTGTGAGTGAAATGCATTTTCCCCAAAAACTAACTCCTTGGGCAGAATGTATGACCAGCAGCATCTCTGGAGCAGTGTTTTCTTCACAATTGACATATATTTACATTTTAGAAACACAACTATAGATATTTTTTCAGAGGCAAGTGGAATTATAGAAGTCACCGCTGCCCCAGTTAGTCATCAAAAGTTCAAATGAATATGGAAAGCCAATTTAAATATTTCATTCAATGCCATATATTATTTCGATTCAGTACTCATTTGTAAGTTGCCAACTCTGCGAATGCATATGCAGCAGTGCGTGTTACATGCTCTCAAGTGTACTTGCACAACCCTGTTTTTCTCAATTGAGTTGTGCAAAAGTATCTGAGTTACTTAAGTGACGGTGTGTTGCAGTGGAATTGCAGTCTGGAGGATTACTCAGCAGACACTGAAGGCATATTTGGGCTTAGAGAATTCAATTAATGCTGATTTTGCATAGGACAGGCTTCTGCTTTTCATTCAAAGCCCAGTGTGAAACTGTAAGCCTGGCAACAAGGAAAAAAAAACCTTTTTTTTCTTTTTAACACAGCATGTTAAATGACTTTTTTAAAGAATATCTTTTAAAGCAAAACTACAGTTACAAGTCAAGCAATACTAAAGAGCTGCTTCATTCTGTTCGTCAGATCAGTAGAGGAATTGATCTGTTTTTTCACGAACGGAACAAGTGAATGATGCCTTAGAAAGTTAATATTGTAAAGCTTAGTATAGGACTATAGTTGAAGACTGCAGAACAGGTTCTTTTACTTTTAGACTGATCTTTCAGCTGTACTGGTTTGACGCAGTATCTCATCCCTGCCTTTTGAGCCAGGCCTCTTGCCACGACTTCTGACTTCAACTCCCATCTTCTTCTACCCCAGCAGTTATTTGGAAATATTCTGACAAGGAGAGAAGGCAATAACAAAGAGATTCCTAATTTTGCATGGTAAACAGCTTTAAAATAGATATCAGACTTTTAATAACGAAGAGAGTGGGCCTTCTTCAGAGTCACAGGCCGAGTAAACCGATCTCTACATGGTATTTAAATTTGGAGCTTACTCCAAAATCATGTTTCACATCCCATCACTTATGTACCAGGACCTGTCTTACAAATTGTAGACCTGACCTTTTCTTTACCAAGAGATAGTAAAAAAGGCCAAGTCCTTTGTGAAACTAAACCTGGGACAGCTTTGATTCTATTAAAAAAACAGAATACTACCTGCTTAAGTATTTACTGAACAAAAGCAGACTTTAGTCTTCCAGATATTCCCAGCTATTCCCAAAACATACTCACTGTCCTAGGTCTCCCTTAAGGCATGGGGAGCCTGTGGAAGTGTATATCTTGCCTGCAACATAAGCACTCTCATTTTGGACCTGCAGCTGTACTGGCAGAAAATAACATAATTCTCTGCACCAAAATAAGACTCAGTACTAGATATAAACTGACGTACAAGGTGAAATAGGTATTTCACATTCTAAGAGGTTTTGAGAGATTTCAACAAATTTATAATAAATCCCCAGATCTTAAAAATGAAGGGCCTTCTTTACTTACTTAAACACATACACATATAAAAACATGCATGCACTCCAGAAACACACATGTATACACTGTGTAACTATGAACAGTACAGCCACTGGGGCTAAATTAATTCAAAACAGACACAAAGGTAAGTAACTTTTTTGTTTTATTTCTGAAAAAAAATATTATCTCATATGAAAAAGAACCTGTGTTGAGAAAATAGAGTCACAACAGAGACTACTAAAAAGCTAAGACTCCCAATCTAATTTATCTTATAATTCCACTAATTAGAGACCCGTTGAAAAAAACTTTGGTTCACCATGCCTTACAGCTCCAGTGAGATTTTCTGACTCTCCTTTCCCATCCTTTTACATGGTAATCGGTGCGGGAGGGTTTTGTGGCACAAACCACTGACAACAGCGGCAGATCCCCCTGCCTTCCCTCACCCACAGTTCTCCCAGTCCCCATATGACTGGTGTTCCCACATCACCCCTTACCATGGTGTCTCCAGCGGTATTCCCTTCCCTTTCGGATGAGTGGTGGCAGGTCTTTGGAGGACCCTGGCTCTAGGCGGCAGGGTGGGAGGCAGCCTGGGCCCAGCACCCGGCACCTGCTGCTGCGCTTCAGTGTCACAGTGCCGTGGGGAATAGGTCACAGACTCTGCAGTTCTGCCCACTGCATCACTGCCTCCTGCCCTCCCCGCCACCCCACGTATGCAAATTCATCCAGAGAGGCAGGGCTCAGATATACCCCAGATTTCAAATTTAGTCCCGTCTGGTTTGGCGTGCTTATTAAATCTGAGCGTGGCCATGTAACACGCTGTAAATTATACTTTCTAACACCTGAGTATTATCCATATGTATCACCTACGAGACACATACCATCCCAATTCTCTGTTCTGCCAGCACGTATATGTGTAGACAAAAATCACTCCTAAATTCCAGTACAGAAGACCAAGAGGGTGTAAGAAAGCAAATGAACAAAAAAGGGTAGAAAAAAACCCAAAAACAGAGAACTGGAAAGTAAATATAATTACCATTCTGAAGTGTGCTCTACCAGGGCTCTTAAAAGCTGGCCTGACTTCTTTCTGTCCTTACTCCAGCTGCCTCTCTATTAATGTTTCAGTTTACTTCTACTGCTTCTCTTTCTGTGTACAGTCATCTGGGCTGTTGGCAGTATGGGGCAATATTCACTACAGAGTATAACTCACCTGTCCAAACACAGACATTTGATTCTCATTGCAGTGCTTATTGCAAGAAATAGCTGGAGGCATCACACAAACATTCTCACATTAAATTAGGGTAGTTGCCTCCACCATTTTATTATTTGCTCCTTCTGCACTAGCTCAGCATTGGAAAGCAGCAGCTTTTCTCAGTGGAGAAATCCTCATGTTTCCAACTCCTACATAACAAAGAGGAAGGTACACTTAATTGCTTGAATCTGAGTATTATGTATCCCCACACTTTAGAAACATACTGTTTATTATGATATTTAATCAGTAGAAACTTAAATACACAATTCATAAATTTTTTGATAGTCTTTGACATGATTATATTAAGATTGTTCTGCCACTGTTGGCAACCAGCATCTAAGGATCTTCTTCTGCAACTGATGCCTAGATTTTAACAGTGTGAAAGCTTTACATACCATTTTTTTTATAAACTCATATTTACTTTGGCATAGTCTTCATTTTGTTGATCTTTACATAAACCTGCAAATCACTACTCTTCAATTTTGGCTAGGAAAAGCTACAAATATTTTCTTACAAAGGAAGAATCCCCATGATAATTTCTGCCTGCTGCTTTGTTTAAGCTGAGTCTCACACTTCTCTAGAAAACCTTGAGATCATTGCTTTGAGGCTGAGGAATAGGTTGTTCCAGTGTTCTTCCAATGGAACTGGTAACATTCCAACCAAGCTCTGGTGTTATGCACAATCTGAAATGTTAAAGCTCACGGCTCCACCAGATGTGGAGCTCTGTGCAGAGAATCACTGCAGGAAAAAAGTCTCACCTGAGAGAGAGCAGTCCACCTAGAGCAGTCCACCACCCGAGTCCTCTTAGGCACTCTTTGAGTCAACATGTCAGATCTAGCAGCTCCAAAACCTGAAAGAGCTCTGTGAATTA